TTCCCTCCGCACATTTATGCTGTTCACAGGCGTCTTGTTAGCATACGTTTAATGTGAATCAGTAAAGGAAAAATCACACATTTTGTGGTTTAGTCTTCCCACATCCAGGAATGAATGGGTGCTCATACAGGTTACTTCACTTAAATGTTTCAGCATACCCATAATTATGCTAGTTATCGTGGTCAGACATTATATAGGATTGTTAGGAAATTTTGCGACACGTCCTGTCACCACAAGAGCATTAATTGAGTGCATGAGACAATTGAAATGAACATGAGGCTCCGAGCTCCTGAGCACACTTGATTACCGGCACCATGTTTTAGCGGATTAAAAATGTGATGTATTGGCTGTTTAATCGAGTTATTCCTCCACTCCAGATGTACTTAGATCATATGATGCCGTAAAATTGGTATCCGGGCTCTAAGCCACTATAGAGTAAATGCGGTCGGATCCTGCCAATCTGGCGAGTTGCCTGTTATGAAATCCAAAGGTATTTGAATGGATCTGAAGTGGAAAGTTTTGCTTCTTAAATGTTCATACTTGTTTGCGTTCACTGGGATTCCAAATTAGGGTAAGTCTCGATCAAACTGTTTTTGGCTTTGGCATGTGCCTCTCTGGAATGCTGATTCCAAAATACCTACACCTACTCTTGGCTGTGATCTAGCCAGCAAATTTGCATCAAATGACAAGTGGAGACACTTAGTTCTGCACGGATATCACTACATGCGTTTCATGTTGATGGAAGTGTTGGTCCAATTTTGCCGCTATAATTCAAATGAGGTAAATTTCCTAAAATGTTTTATGGTTGTGAAATATATAATCTAACGAATTTCTTCTCTGCTGTTTAAAGTTATTGCTCTACTACTTCCTGTTTATATGATAGTTTTTGGTGGTTGATATGAGGTAGTTGAGGAAATATAATACGCATAGCTAAGTCCATGCTGTATTGATTAAGGCAACCTCTGTCTAGGTAATTTTCCATAGCTCGTACAGTAGCTTAGCTGTCAGTATTCACGTAATTTTCAACTGTGTCACTGTGTAGTTGCTTGTAGTCAGCATGGGATAAACATGACACGTGAAATCTGTTTCTCCTAACCATAACAATGCTTCGCAATTTCACCACAACAGGTCTCAGACAAGGTGGGTAAAATAGCTGTTATTGACAATGCCTGCAAAACTGTACAACGCATTTAAACGGATATTTTATGACGAAAATTTTTGACTCCATACTATTGATCGATCCGGTAAATCAACAACTTAACATTCGGTATAAGCAACCATTTTTATATAGCACGGGATTGTTTAATTTGAGGAGCTAATCGGTTGTTTTTGCATTCCAGTCAATTGCGAAATGTCGTGTGGAATTCCATGAGGACACATTTGGATATAAACCTTTTCAGTTAGCAAGACTAAACTTGATAATGCCAGCAGAATTAGTTGAAGCATCGACTGAGGAAGAGAGAGTAATGACATAACGGAAAGGTTAAAACCAATTGGCAAGGGCTGTGCATTTTCTGTAAACATTCGGGAGCAAAATGCATCCTATGGTAAGCCAAGTGATTTGGTGTGAATATTGAGTAGTCGTATAGTATACACTAAAGTCTATCATAACATGCAGATAATAGTTTACAACGTATGCCTCAAATATAGCGTTAATGTATTTTTTGGACTGAATTATCTCAAATATCAGAGCATCTGAACTATCCATAATTAATTTGTATATTAATTGCTTGCTTACACAATGAGAAGAGCCCCATGGCCCATTTGTTGTAAGATATCTCAGGGTGGTAGACGGTTTTGTCAGAGAAACTTATAGTTGGGATGGAGTTAAGGCAGCGTTTTCTCATCAACAATGTGTTCAGAATGACGGCATGAATGCTGGTAGATTTATGCGCAACACACTTGTCTTTGTGATACCAGTAATTTACAGAAGGTTTGTGTAAACTTACATTAACCTTGCCACATAAGCGAGTCAAGTTGTTTGCTATGCTAAATCCAGTTTCCCACTATGGTAGTTCAACGATCAGAGCTGTACAACCTACTACTTGGAATTATACTTTCCGGCGAATTGTTTCCTCTACTGCAACAATGAGCAATTATTTTTACTAAGCTCTTAAATGTTACCGTGGATTACGATCAAGTGACGTGATTTTGCATGACTACCGTACCAGATGTTGCACGGTCGCCAACTGGAGAAATAACAATGCTCAGATACATGTTTTTCGTTTCTAAGCTGACGCTATTAGTAGAGCTGAATACTTAGGTGTTTGGACATCAGCACCTGTTGTGTACACTAATTTACTGGCTTTTGAGAGAAAGGTGCACGGACGACACCACTAGACATTCAGCCAAAAACGACCAGAATATTTTCCACGTAGTTGATTCATAGGTCAATTAAGACATGTACCACAGCAATTGGCCCCGAAACCAATCAGACCAGAGACCTTCAGACTGAGTTAAGTAAGGTGTACTCGCAGCGGTCCACTTTTGTATGCGGAATCGATCGCGGTTAGTCGTATTGACACCATTTTTGTGCATACACAACGTTAGTGTGTATATGCCATTGATGTGAATTATTCCGAGTTGTTTGGCTCATCTTCTTAGTAAGCCAGTAGCCCCAGAAAATAAATAGATCACTGTTTGATTTTCTCATGACTTATAACTACTGTTCTAACAATTACCAAGGGAACTCGTTTAGTCAATTCAATAAAGGCAAATACAATGACATGACTAAGATAAACGGGAAAGTAAGGGAACGCTGGGATGGGATTGGTTGACCACACGAAGTCGATCAATAATCAGCTACATGCAGCACCTGGTGCATATTGCTTTAATTAACAAGGATCCGAAGCGATGTCCGTTAGCAGCATTAGCTGCTCTTGCAAATGAGCAAAACGGGGGTCTTACGTGGTTTCTGACCGTAATACCTTAAAACCTAAGTACGGTACGTTAAGTTGCACGAAATTATTAATCTAAATACGTTGTGAACGAACAGTAACCCATAGTTTATTTGGACTATGGACCTCTGCGCCAGTTTTGTCCACTGCAACATTCAATATTAATAATTCAGTGGATGATGAGTTGCTCCATAGGCAGCTAGCGTGTAATCCTTGATGGTCACCCGTCTCATGATTCATTGACAGAAAGGGTTTGCATATTGGTGATGACCACTAAGAGAAATCGGTTGGATTCAGATAAAACCGTGGGATACTTTTGATTAGTGATTCGCGATGGCAGAAGGCGGATTTTTGGTATAAGTGGTCTTCAATAATTTTGTGGGATGTCAGATTATACCGTGAACATCTCTAGCAAGTGCTGACTGCATGACGGATAACTTTGCAACAAGGACGCTTATTTAATGCTCAAACGTACTTATAATTGTTGCTGCACTATGTTGCAAACCGGCTTTCTAAATTTTGGCATCCGTAGTACAAAATCCACTGCCTTTACTTGTGTACGTATAGTAGAAATTGTATAAAGCCAGTGCCTCCCTAGGAAGTGTATGCTGGGTACTGACGACGGTAATATCTTCGCAATACTTTGAGTTAGATGGTGAGTATCCCATCACGCTATGTCTTAGACACAGGATGTTAAATTACAACGCGTTTGCTTTGCTGTAGCCACGCAGTTTGTTCTCATCCACTTCCGTATCATCGCTGATGATGCGAGGCAAGACCTATTTTCATAGACTATATTTAGAACTACCTTGTCTGTAGCATGGGCGTTCTTGTTTTGTTGATACCGAATACGGTCTGGCAAAGAATGTTTCGACATTTCTACACCCCAAGAAAACTACGTTTGTATTTTTCTGACATTTAGTTTTATCAATGAAATCTTATTGTCAATTCCATGGTTAGAGTTAATGCTATTAACTTTCAAGGAAATACTGACAGATGCAAGCGGTTTTATGCAGGTGCCTACTCTAGTACGCTGTTATACACAGGGACACTTGAATCACAGGTGAATCCTTTCCGTATGCTTATAAACTCATGAGAAAACGAGCGGCCCTCCGTCAAGCAGAAAGAAGATTGTGCAGTGACACGAAACACTGTAGTACTGAGTCATGGTTTCTCGCTTCTTCCTGGCTTCCGCGCTGGTCACGCGTTTGTGTTCATTAATTTGTGCTTCTCAGATCTGCGTGGTTCACCCAAGCGCAAATTATCCGTGACAGTCATGTTGACTTCCTCTGTGTGTCAAATTTCGCTGTACATGCACCATTGGTCTGTGTCATTCAATTGGGAATTTGCAGTCTGTGGGCTTGATACAGACACTCTTATTCTGAGTCTTGAGGATTCTAATTTGCTTTGGGTCTGACCTTTTCCTTCCCTCTCCCAATTTCGGTCTTGTGCCCGTGGGCGGTCCCTGCCTCTGGTTAGTTGGCTATTGTGTATAAACGGTTATACGCAGTGCTGCATCAACGGTTGCTTTTCGGTCTGCGGATTGGCAACTGGGCATACCGACTTCCTTCACAGCTTGTGTCTCTGATTGGCTGAGTAGTGTGTCGGCCCCGGTCACAAGAAATCCTACCTGTGCTGTTGATTAGCCGCTAAGTGTATTAACCCATCACCAATAGGACTGCAATTAATTGATAAGGTGCAAGGCCCAGCTGCGAAATGAATGCAAAAACATTTATTATCTTTAGACTATTCATTCATTAGCTCAATAATTTAAGACCATTAAGCATATTACCTCAGGTCATAATTTAGATTTGTGTGATAATTTTTGCACATGCATTCGCCAAATAATGGGTACAATTTGTGTTCCACAGTGCCTTCTAACACGATCATGGACGGAAAAACTTTGGTGAGCTTAGCCCCAAAACTTTTGACCGCAAGCAAGGTTTATTTCAACGATGTAATAGTAATCCGCTTTCTTGATATTATCGGAGCCTTGCATGTTTTCTAGTGCACAAATTGTTACATCTGACAGCTATTTGTTCTAGCCCGGATAACCAGATTAATTTGTTAAAAACCATATTATTCTCCACGTAATTTCGATAGAATTTCGGGTGACATTCCGCAAGTCAGAGATAATGTCGTGGCGTGGAAGCAAGCCAAAAACAACACTAATATGCCAAAAAGTGAGTATTTTTTCTCGTAATAAACCCTGAAATAATAATCTTTTAAGCCCCATTTTCTAAAACCGTGTGCAATGCTGCGTCTTATTATGTTGTGATATACACGGCAGGGAAAGTGATGCATGTTACCTATCTCCTTTGTTTATCGCCAGCTGAAAAATATCTCAGAAGGTCTGATAGAAACCTGCACTGACGTCACGATGCATGGAGACTATGGATTTGCTGACATTTTGTTCGTCCCAACAACTGCCTCAGTTTGGGAAGCGCAAATGCGCCTTATGATCCAACTGAACTCAAGAATTATAACGCGATGTAATTTCAATGTGGCAGTCAAGCCGATCTCCAAAGGTTACTAAAAGGACAATCAAAGTTTATAACTTTTAATTATTTATTTGCACAGACCGAATGATGAAATGCGAACTGGAATGCAATCTGCATTAAAGAGTTTGGTTGCTTCCACATTTTGGAGCGATACCTTATTAGGTTAAATATGCACATAAAACATAATCCTTAGTTGCTGAATAAAAGTATAAGATTGTCTGTTGCAAATGTAAATCGCTGTCACTAAAAAACATGTAACGAATGTGGAATAAAAATTGCTTCTGACATTCAGACTGAGATTCATTTATTAGTACAGTAACCGAATAGGAGATAAACGGCAACAACAATCAGTAGCATAAGATAAGCCGGTTTTACGCGCGTAATCAAACCATGTGCCTATCCACTTAACACATTATATATCGGTTAGAATTATAGTTATCCAGATTGCATTTCAGCCATTTTATATATAAACGTATATATATATATATATATTTGCGTAGCAGCATCAAGTTCCGAGTTACCTGTCACCGTGACCTTCACGGGGAGAGCCACGTGAAGTGTACGCCTTCAGAGAGACAATGGGTGGCTTGCGCTACACCACGCACAGCTCCATGCAGACACCCCATATCCAGTGTAAACCCTAAGGAATATGACCGGGAGGTCTGTGGATAAGAGCCGCGTTTCTTCAGCGGAACCGGCTCACACTGCGTCAACATGCACAGCAGTAGCATTCTTGTCTATCAATGTAGGAAAACATGCGTACTGATGCGAAATCAAAGGCCAAGGAGATTATGGCGATATCCTTGGCTGTCGCTTTCGGGGAGTTGTAGATGTAACCGAGAAGTATTGTGGAGCAGGCTGCAGCGACTGATAACCACGGAGATTCTGGGAGGTTGTTTAACTGTTGGTCGTCAAGGAACTTCGCTCGAAAGTTCTGATGGAGGTATACGATCCACCCATCACCCTTCTTTTTGCTGCGAGCTCCTCAAATTGGATAGTAGTTATGAATATCTAATTTATCATCCAGTGAATCAAGGAAGCACCATGTTTCAGTGACGATGATTACAGTTCAGGTGTTCAGCTGAGTAAGCATGTTTACAAATTGCAACTGGCTTTTTATGGGTCTTGTGTTGCTAATGCAAATCTGGTGTGCACAAAAGCGATTTCTATGAATAATTCATAGCGTTTGGAATCAGAAATGACACACGAAGAATTTAAATAATGGGGTGATGGAAGCAAACCCTCGGTGAAATGATCAGTTGTAAGGACATTGTTCGCGCTAGGTGCATGGTCACTCCTACTTAGTGACGTGCTCCTAGCTATCCTGTCGGCCATGCATCCTTCATTGGTGAGTACATTTTCCGGTATCGACGGTTTGTTAGCAGTTCGAAACCTGTTGGCGTAGGTTATGTGGTTGTACAGAAGGTGGCTATCAGTTAGCTCTTGCAAGCAGGTTTAAACTGCACACCATTAGTTGCTGGCGTTTCCGTGCTGTGCGCATTCAAATCTCCAGCGGTAAGAATGTGAAGGTAGGACATTTTCAAATCAACCTGGAAGACGTGGCTCAGTTTGGAGTCCGTTTTCGACATAGTGTTTGATGGGCGGTTACTTACGGCTAGAAGATCTGTCCTTGTTCCGCAACCGTAGGTATAACCAACTCGAAGCAGGAGCGCCGATTTCAGCATGGTTTTGAAGTTCACCTCGGAGATTAGTATCACAATAAGGAACCACATCACCACCGATTCCAAACCGATTGCCCCGAAGTAGCGTCATAAAGGGTAGATGGATCTCAGAATCGGTTAACTCAGGGTTTAAGCATGTAGCTAGAATGATGACGAGGTCCTGCGGTTGTGAGTCGTGGAGTGCTGTAAGTTTAGCCAACTTACTTAGAAGGCCTTGGGTATTTGTTTACCTACAGCATGGTGTTTTTCTTGTCAGGTGGGCATCGGTGTGTGTGATTTAAGGCCGAATGTTAGTTGGCCGGCGTTTAATCGTCCCGATTTCATGAATTTCCGTCAAGTTGCATCGCGTTCTTGAGCACTGCTGAACAGAAGTTTCGCTAGTGCTGCACTCTGTCCTGTTATGTTGGTCTCTTCACAGGACTGTGCAGGCAAATATTTTCCGCCTTTTACAAGTCTTATCGTGTTGACTGCGAATCGCGGTCGTGCGCCTGCTGCATTTGGATTGATAATTGTTGGCAACCTGGTCCGAAATTTTGACTAGATGTCCAATAAAACGTGCATCATGTCCTTTGAGTATAATCCTACTTTCTTTAACCTTGGACAGCGGTGTTCGTAGTTAGGTGATGACAGAACTCCTGTTAAGAATTCGGCAATAATCTTGTCCAGAGAGAGTGTCTAGCGGATCTAGCACCATTGCTCTTGCTAATGTGGTTACGCACCATGAGCATGGCTTTCCCGAAGAGTATTTCGACCCAAATTGCCGTTTTAGGCACGCTGCTGATTCCACACCTGCTCTGCCAATTGTTTCAAGTGTCTTTCCCGGTGCTATTATTCTGATATTTTTACATGGTATTATTGATATCTGGCCAAAATTAAATTGTGATCTCACTAATCGCTGAGGCCATTGATTCATTTGCATTGATCATGTGCTCACAAAAAGACTAGTCGTGTGGTTAAAATTCGTGTAACACCGTAGTCCCGAAAGGAATTCAATGCGATAGGTGCTTGCACTGGTACTGTAATACCTGGTCTAGGTTGGATAGGGATAGTGTTGACTTTTACGTCAGTTATTTCCTCTTGAATTGGGTAGATTTTCATTGTGTTTGGCTAGCTGAATATGCCCATGACCGACAGGTTAACTAACAGGCTGGTTATGATGGAGGGTAATTGCAAAGGCTTATTGCAGCAGAACAGTTAATACAAGGGCAGTGATCCCTTATCAACACGTTGAAAACGCTATTGGAGGAAACAAAATCATCGCTAGAGAACACTGTGCGACGTGCTGAAATTGAAATGGGAAGCCAGAATATTCTGCTTATTCACAGCCATGCGCAGCCGATAATATGAGAGACTAGAGTTAGACGGGCTTTGGATAGAGGGCGGGTGCAAGATATTCTCCGAAATGCAGGCATATCATTACACCTTTGTGTAAAGAGAATTCACTGGTTCGATATTTGGAGGTACGCATAATCCCTGAGTCATGCGGGCCTGTAAGGCCGAGTTTGGTGGGATTCATTTGCCCGATTTCCCGGGATTTATTGCTTAGCCGGGAGGGTGAAATCCTAAATCCTACTAAGGTCGATATCACATAGCACCGAACACAGCAGTTTCAAATGTAAAAGTTGCTCAAACAACTCCAATGTATGATACTACGAATGAGTATACATCATTAGCTAGCTTGGTTCTTGTCCAGGAGGCCTTTACAAGCAAAACAGTCGCTGCAACTTTTGTTCAAGAATACCATGTAGGTGATACTGGAAGGGTACGAGCGAACAATAGACCATCTGATGATTGCCCAACTTTGACAATCCCCGTCTACAAATTGGATCGAAACTATTTTCCAGGCTGTTATGCCCCTATTTGTAGAAAATGTGTAGCGAAGTTGGGCCGATTCAGAGGGCAGAAGTGAAGAAAATTGGAGAACGAGGCTAAACGTAGCTCAGTTGAAGCTGTTAGCGGGCTTCATCCTATGGCGTTCTGCTGGTACCCGTTACTGATTGAGAACGTCGTACAACTGAAGTGGACAGTCGTCTTGAAATTGTCTAGTAAAATCTACGAAGCTTAAAGTTTTGAGGCAGACGAAATATCAGCGAGGAGAGCTGAGAAGGTAGTACACTGACTGTTACAGCATAAGAAATGAGTGTGAAGTACTGACTTTACCTTGTAGGCTTGTTGATGTAGTTACAGTTAGTGGATCATGACTCGCCCAGAGTAATCCTCTCTAAATCTTACTAAATGGCCTCTTTGAATATGGAATGGACAAGCCTGATCAGCAGGCAGATGGGAATGTGTCTTTGCTTATCAAGTATCATAAAGCAAATTGGGAGGCCACTTTCTTCGTGCCAACATGTTGTATCCAACTGTTTTCGTGCTTTCTGAGTTTGGATGGACGGTTGGAACTAATTAGTGTATCGTAACCTGGCCCCTACGCGATTGGAAGATAAGGGGCTTAATAAACTGCTTAAACAATCAGTGCTAGCTGCATCGCAATTTTTCATCATCGATGAATTAAATCTTTTGCATGTATACTGAGACCATGCTACTAACACGATAGATACTCTGGAGCGAGACCTGGTAGAATGGGTGCATGAGAATGTTTATGTCTATAAGGTAACCTTTCCTAGGAGGAAGAGGGGTGGGTGTACTCTTTCAACACTAGAAATTGTGATAACCAGATGTGGTAATTTGTCAAAGGTATACGCAGAGGTTTCTATGGGTACGGGAAACCAATGTGTTGTTACTTCTCGTTAAATTCAAAGAGGTCTTCAGCAGAACGCAAACTTGTAATGAACCTGTGCCTAATTGCCCTCATTCAGTTACGAAACCAAGCTCTGCTGATAGACTGATTTACTGAACCAGAACAAGACACCTTAAAGTACCCTTGGAGCTTGATTATAATTGGGCTTGCCCAGTTATTAAAAGCGTTTGCTCCGCGGAGGCCCAGAAGATTTGTTTGTAAGCGGAGTTGGTGGCGCCGAAGATTAACTCGAACTATTAAACAACGGAACGATCCTTGGAAGAATTTTCAAGCAACTTGAGGATTTAAGCATTGGTTGTAGCACTTAACATGTAGGCATATAGCAGTCAAATAGGAAAGAAAAGCGAAGTATTGCTTTTGGATTCGGTTAGCTCAGAACGCAGAAACATAGCCTATGTTGTACTACAAGTATGTTCAGTAGAAAAAAGTCTTTGTGAGATGTAGTTGGCAACGTGACCTTGAAGAGTGAAAGTCATGATGTAGAAGAAGCCGATAAGGCAGAGGTGCTGCTGCGTGTCTTCCAGAAAGTGCATCACATGGATGAGGGGCGTTTGGTTCTTACACAACCACATCGTCAGACCGAGAAGGAAACGCC